AGTGATGTTCTTATAAAGTGTTATGTGCAGACCTTTGCGGGGTACTTTCTTGGACATTAAAATTTAATTGCTGCTTATAATACTTTTCTGTTTTCCAAAAACACATCATGGTGATAAACCACTGTTTATTATTATAGCAAAAACAGTTGTATATTGCCTATGGTGCTGTCCTCCGATATAATTATGACCCTTCAAATCTTCTGTGAGGTAATAGTCTCATACAATGAACTGCAAACTTTTCATACATAGTGGTTCTTAAATAACAGATGCTAAGTGCCCACATTGAGGTTGATTACTAGCAGGAAATGTTCTTGAGTCCTGAATGTATAAAACTTACCTATGTATGTGGAAATATGTACCATGATTCAATCATACTGTTCATTACTATTTGGTTAGATCAATATATCTTCTAATTTGGTCTATTTTCTTATGACAGGCGCAGTATGTGCCAGCTTTCATACATTGTAGCTTACTCTTGAGTATTATAAAGATTAACAAAGACTTTAAAAGTTTTAACAAATCATAAATTTAAACTGCACTATCTGAAGCTACAATGCTGTATTTTATTGCATATAATGTTCTAATTATATAAACCTACCTTGTTTTGTATTGGATGCAAGAAGCAGATTACCTTAATATTTTACTTTATGAAAGAATGAGGTAACTATAGAACATTGAAGACCAAAATTTGGTATTAATAGTGACAAGTCTAAGAATTATAGCTTGTCTAAAACTTTTTTGTTAGTATGTGAACAGTATCATAGAATCCAAGGACTCCTTGCTTAATTCTTTTTGAAAGTGTTCCAGGATAAGAGGTTTAGCTTGTTCAACATGCATGCAGCGTTCACTGAAATGAGGGCTGTGTCTTTATTACTCATAAATTTGAACTGTTGACCTTATGGAAGATAAGCCTGGTGATGTTGAAATAAATTTGCCAATCTTAACCTTAATAATTTTATTTTTAGGCCCATGGCTGTTATGTCTATCTGGTGAATGAAGAACAACATTATGCTTTATTTATTATGTTTGCTTTCTCTGTATTATTTTATATTAAAGCTCTGTTGAGAAAATATGCACAGCATCCTTTTCCCAGATTAGTACTCCAGATGTTGTGGACTTAAGCTCCAGTGATTTCTCAGAGCCAAAATCCAACATATTTGAAGGCAGAAGGTTGGGTAAGGCTGTGTGCAAGCATAATTAAACTATAAAGATACCAGATTGAAATGCCTTATGTGTCTAAATTCTATGTACCTTTATAATCTCTGAACATAATGTTTCTGCGGTTCTAGACCCTTGTCTGTATTAGCAGACTGGTCAGCCATGGAACCAGTCTTTTTTATTCTAGCTTGAAATCCCAAATTAGTATTCTGTATGTGTGTATGAATGGGAGAGAGAGACCTTAAGTTTCCTAACCAATGAGTTATGCAAAAAAGGTTTTTATTAACAGTACATTGTGACACATTCCACACAAGATGATGTAATTTCAGCATCCTGTCATGGCATCTTGAAAGGTACAGTTTAAGTTCAGAAATTAAGTGAAGAATCCTACTTAAAACTTACATATACATTATGTGATGTGCAGTTGTATCTTTGAACTATTCATTATGTATGATATTAGCTTTTAGTATTTTTAGACCTTTCAGTTTCAGATCCATTATACCTGATGTCCTCAGAGGGCATTCACGAGGTTGGCAGTTTAATTGCTCAAAATCCCATGAGTGCTTGTTTATGGTGTTACAGTGTTTTCAGTTGAATTAAGTGATTCTGCATCTCAGAAGTTTGGGGTAATAGTCTGATTGGTGCTTGTTCATACAGTTGCATTCTAAAGTTCAGGCACCCTTTGGTCATATTATATCTCAATCCCTAAGTGAAAAGCTGACACAACCTCTAAATAGTACAAACACAACACTTCTGTAAATGTGAACGCTATCGAGTGAAGAAAATTGAAGCCAAAAAAAGTTTGATATTATCTGAAACATACATCCAAATCAACCGTGAAATACAAAGAAATGGTTTTGGAATGGCCTTCACAGTCCCGAGTTTGGATATTACTAACATTCAGTGGGGAGATCTCATGCACTTAAGAATATTTCTGAGGGAGAACACTTCTGGAAGGAAGAGGGGGGGAAAATTCCAAAGCAAGTACAGAAAGACTTAGATGCTGTGACATCTCTGTGTGTGAAGAAGATTAAAAAGTCAAGATGGTTGCAGCAGACCTATTGAAGCCCTATTATTTAGTGTATATGTGTGACAAAGCATTAAAAAAGGTGTGGCTTTAATCGTGTTAGTGTAACTGCCATCTTGATTTTTTTTTTTAAACTCTTCCCTCTCCTCCCAGGTACTGCAGCTTACCTGGCTACCAGAAACATTGGAAGCTGTTATTTCTGCCAAGAAAGTGTTACAAAGTATTGACTGAAAGGGTGTCCAAACCTTTGCACCTGATGTACTATTAACTGAACCTGAAACATTCATCTAAATACAGTATTAATGCATTCAAATTTGCAGAATGATTTGCTTAACTATGTACTTTATAGAGGTATTGGCTTTCATCTTGCTAGGGATTCACTGAAACAATTTGACTAGGGTACCTAAACTTGCATGCAACTGTACATGGAATAATTTAAAGAGTCATTTGGTTTACTATCAGAGTGATTTATATAGAATCTAAATCTGCAGGCAATGGGTTTTTTTTTTTTAAGGAAGCAACTTGGTCAATCTAAGGTTCCTGCAAAGGAATTCATATAAGCTGTTTTACTAAAAAAATGTAAATGTATTAGAAAACATGATTACACTATATAAAGGCAACTTATAACACAGGATGGTGATTGTCAAGTCTTCAACTATTGTACTAAATATTGTGAATGCTTGGATAACTTAATTATTTTTAGTGCAATATAATTTAACCAGTTTCTAATGCTGGAAGTTAATACAGCAAGACAATATGGAGACAATTTCAGTAAATCACGATTTCAGTTGTCCATTAGCAGTAGCAATCTATTTTCAAAATCCAATATTACGCACAAAAAATGGAGTAAATCAGCTTGACCTATAGCCTGTTCTGCTTTATAGATTTTATTATGTGCTTGTATAGGCCAAACTCAATATTTGGACTTCAGTATTATTACATGTTATCTGACTGCTGGGGCAGATACTAACAGCAAAACAGCTTAAAGCTGCTTCTGCAGGCAGGAGCAGGATATTTTTGTAATGTCTGACAAAATATGTAGAGGAACAAATCTCTACTACCCACCTCATTAGGAAAAAAAATGCTTTATTCTATCTAAATCACCCCCCCCCACACACACACACCAGAAGCTAGTGTGATAAAAGTAGGGCATATATGTACTAAGCTTTTATTTGCTGAAAATTTGGACTATTGGTAATTTTAATGCTGAGTTTCACTACAATAATGAAAGTTCCTCCCCCCCCCTGCCCAAATCTCATGTCATACAGGTTAATGAAAATTAAAAGTGATTGAACACTTAGGTCTGGTCAGGATCATATAACCTTTGAGCTTATACCAGGGTAGGTAAATATTTTATACTGGTAGACATATCTCTGATCTTTTTATGGTTAGGGTCTGGCGGTTAACGGTGAACCTTTGCAAGAAAAGTGAGATTGCTCCCTGCCACCCCACATTCCCTTTATTTTTTGGGCAGTTGAGCACATTTCCTAACAAAGCACTAGATTGTGCTCATTTCCCATTATTTTTAAAGTGTGTCTCTAGGGCACGTGGTGCTCAGAGGCATTCTTGCAAATGAAGATGCTAGAGGGCTGATGCTTGGTTTGCAGTATGTCACCTTCCCTTAGTAAAAGAATAAAAGATAATAGGAAGACAGAATCTAGCAAATCCTAAGGTTTACATTTTTATCTATGTACTCCATTATAGACCAATAGTGATTTTGGTTGATTCACTTGCTGTGTTGCCAGAATGACATGATCCACATACAAGAAAACTGTTAGAAGGCTAGAAAGCAGAAGGTTGCAGAAGTATAAAATACAGTGGTACCTCGGGTCACAAACTTAATTCATTCCGCGACTCTGGTCGCGACCCGAATTGGTCGTGACCCGAATCAAATTTTCCCATAAGGTTCAATGTAAATATGGTTAATCCGTTCCGACCTCTATGAATTTGGTCGCCAACCGATTTTGGTCGCGACCCGAATTGGTCGTGACCCGAATCAAATTTTCCCATAAGGTTCAATGTAAATATGGTTAATCCGTTCCGACCT